TGAGAAATTTAAAGCAAATAGCTATAAGGAAGGTTGAGTGTCTTGGAGGTATGGAGAGAAAAACGCGAGATAGCAGCACTTTAGTTATTTGTGAAACTAGATTGTTTGGTGCATATAAAAATGTGGAAATTTGTTTTGGTGGTGAAAACCTTTCTTCAGCTTTTATGAACAGTTACAATTTATAAAAATTCATGTCCTTGCATCTGAAGCATTTGTCTCTTTTCCCAGACGTTAGGGTATGTACGATGTTATGTGGTATAAGACTTTAAGAGGCTGTCTGAATTACCCGCCTTCACTGGGATTGACTTAGACTGCAGCTGTGCTAAGTGAACATTGCTGGAGCTCCTCACCTCATTGTCATGCAAGGCCATCCTTGCACCTGCTTCTGGAACACGTAGCAGCAGAAGTCACACCTTTGAAACCACTCCAGCTGAGGTGGTCAGAGCTGGCAGGGAGAAATTGGATCTCATCCTCCTCTAGGCTTTGAAATGGTTGAGCGGTGACATCCTTGTTTTATTTCTCCATTGTCTGTTAAAGACATAGTTCCATGTGAATCATCGATGAGAGCCAGAGAATGCAAGCTAGAAGCATCATCGCCACTAATAAGCATTTCTTACAGATTGATTGTGTGAAAACTATAAAGAGCCTCCAAGCATTCTATAATCACTTTACTGATTTTGCTGCCAAACTTCCTAGAAGGAGGGTCAGATGGACTGGCTAGTGATGGCCTCCACTGCGTCTTCCTCCTCCTGCTCCTGCTCCTCCTGCTCCTCCTCCTCCTGCTCCTCCTCCTCCTGCTCCTCCTCCTCCTCTTCCCCCTCTTCCTCCTGCTTCACTTTCTCTTCTACCTCCTCATTATCTCTCTGTCTGTCTTTATCTCTGTCCCAACTCGTAGTTGTTACCTAGTAATCAAATACCTCCAGCTCCAGAATTAGAAATTATTTTTTGTTTCTGTTTTTGAAGTGCTAGGGATCAAACCCAGGGCCTCAGGTGTGCTAGGCAGGCACTCTGCCACTGCAGTATAGCCTCAGGCCTAAAAGAAAATGAAAGAGAATAGATCCTTTGACTAAGGTTTTATTAAGTGAACATTTATAACATATAACTGAAATAGTCATAGTAAAATTCTACAGAAAGAGAATATATTAGTAAAGAAGGAGTCAAATGATAATTGGAAATAGCTAATAATTTAACCTAAATGTCAAAAACTATCACTTCTGGTAGAACCTGCTTGGGACTTAGACTGCCAGAGCTCAAGTTATAGGCATGTGCCAACTCATTTGACCTTAAGTTTTAATTTCTTTTTTTCTTTCTGAGAATTTCTTTTTTTTAAAAAATATTTTATTTGTTATTTTTATTTTATGTGTATGAGTGTATTGCCTGCATGTATGTGAGTGCACTGCCGTGGAGGTCAGAAGAGGGCTTCGGAGTCCCCTGGAATTGGCGTTAAGGACGATTCATAGCCACCATGTGGGTGCTGGGAATCAAACCTGGGTCCTCTGCAAGAGCAGTCAGTGCTCTTAACCGCTGAGCCATCTCTCCAGCCCCTCTTTCTGAGAATTTCATACACGGGTGCTGTATTTACATGATCTCTGCTCCCCTCTCTACTCCACCTCCTCCTACTCCCACCTCTCACAATCTCATGACCTCTTCTTTGATTGTTCACACACACACATACACACACACACACACACACACACACACACACACAAAACGTACTGAGTCCATTTAGTGGTACTGGTGTGTACATGTGTTTAGGCTGACTATTTGGGATTGGATAACCTATCAGGAAATTTGTCCCTTGAGAAAACTGATTCTTCCTTCCTCAGGAGCCATTGATTGCCTGTAGCTCTCCTTCCGCAGATAGGACCTTGTGAAATTTGCCCCCTCCACACTGACATGTCATCTGATGTTGTCATTATACAGGTCTTGTTATGCAACTATGTTTTTGAAATTTCATGTGTGCAGTTTCCCTGTCATGTTGAAAACACACTATCTAACAGCAGCTGTCCTGGTCCTTTGGCATTATAATCTTTCCATCCCCTCTTCTGTGATGTTCCTCGAGCCTTAAGTGTAGGGGTTACATTGTAGATTTATCAGTTGGGGCTAGGCAACCCAGGGTCACTTACTCTTTGTATTTTGAGCAGTTGTGGAACTTTGCAATAGTTTCTACCTGTTGAAAGAAGAAGCTTGTTTGATGACTGAATGAAAGCTCTGCTTATCTGTGAACATAAGGATAAGTACTGAGAATAGAGCAAGACATTACATAGGTTTAGGAGAGTGGCAGTACTAGGTTCTCCCCTAGGGTCCATGACCTCTCCAGCCATGAGTGTTTGGTTATGTTTACAGTGCCACACACAGATTAATGGTCTACTGAGCAGGCTTTAAGTCCAATCAGACAGCTGTTGGTTGCCACCAACATAAAAGTGCCACTATTGCACCAATAGAGATATTTTGCTGGGCAGGTCATTGTTGTAGTTCAGGATTTATAGCTGGGACTATT